TTTGCAGCAGCTTCACAGGTTGAGGGCTGCTCCTTTTCAAAATGGTGTTCTCGCCTAGGCGCCCCGTACATCCGTCTTAACAGTTCGCCACGGTTTCCAGGCTTAGTACGGTTGAAGTCCCAAGAATGGTGCACGATTAAGGATGGTCAGGACGTAACAGTCACGTTAATTCGCTGTCGAAATCTCAGGATCCGTTTTCGTTCACACTTCAGGACTGTCAGGGCGCGACACGTCGATTTGCGGCACTGAAATCCAAAGAACTACATTTCGGCGCAAGTGGGGACTCTCAAACGGTTGCCTTTTGATGAAGAATTTTCCAGAATGAAAGCAAATTCTAGTAGGGGCAAATGAGGAGGGAATAACTTGGAGGGAGAGTGTTTTGCAACATCTCTGATGCTTTTTAGGTTTACACAGGTCCTCCTCCTCATCCTTCTCCTCCTTCTCCTCCTCCTCCTCCCCTTCCTCCTCCTCCTGATTCCTGATTCCTGATGGCTGCATGTTCGTACAGACGAAGCCAAACCAGCCCTGCTCCGCGAGGCTGGTACCAAGTGGCGCCACTAACCGAAAGGGGAGGCTACCCCAGGAGGAGAGGGAAAAGGACTCCTCCTCCTCCTCCTCCACCTCATCCTCCTCTTCCTCCTCCTCGTCTTCGTCCATCCACTCTCCTCCTCCTCCTCCTCCTCCTCCTCCTCCTCCTCCTCCTCCTCCTCCTCCTCCTCCTCCTCCTCGTCCCCCTCCTGATCCTCCTCCTCCTCCTCCTCGCCCGCTCGCTCTATAGAGCAAGAAGAGAAGCCCACAGCATGGGATAAAAAGAGAGAAACGTGAACACGCAACGGGCTCGTGCAACGGATGGAGCAGCAGCAGCAGCAGCAGCAGCAACAGGGGCGCCGATAGAGTTAGCCGCCAAGAGGCTCAACTCCGATATTCGTCCACCTCCTCCTCCTCCTCCACCTCCTCCTCCTCCTCCTACTCATCCTCCTTCTCCTCATCCCGGCCCTCGCCCTGGGAGGGGGATTCAGGGCGCAAGACGTGGCGAGACCCCTGCGTGGGGGTCCAGTCCGACGCACGCGCACGCCCCGGAGTAAGAGCGAGGGGGGACGGGGGAGGAGTCCGGAGGAGGAGAGAGGACAGAGAAAAGCGAGGCGCGCTTGCGCCATATCTGGCATCCTGCCCCACCCACCCATTCCTTCCCGTTGCGATGAGTGGTCTCTCTATCCGCCGATGGGTGTCGCAGAGGAACTGAGAACTCCCGAAGGACCCCATTGGAGGATGAGGTGGCGGATGAGGAAGAGGATGAGCAGGACGAAGAGGAAGAAGAAGAAGAATAACGAGGAAGAACAACAGCAACAGCAGGAGCAGGAGCACGAAGAGCGGGCGGAGCAAGATGACCCAGGGAAGCCGGAGGACGGGGAGAGATGGAACGAGGGGCATGGAAGAGGGCTAAGTAAAGGCAAGGAAGAGGGGGAGGAAGAGAGAAAGAGGGAGAGATGGATATACACAGGAACAGGTACGTCCGCCCTATCTCGAACACACAGTGGAGTGCCTCAGGGCTCCCACCGTTGTAGTAGGCACTGGAAGGTTGTAAGAATTGTTGGGGGTCAGACCCATGATAAGCCAAATTGCCAGGGTGTGTCGCATGAGCCTCCCGGGTCCCAGGGCCCAGAATTGTTGAAAAGCAGATGGTGCTTCAACAAGTTTGTACTCAGAGATGGCCAGGTGCCAGGAAAATGTCACGCCCGAGACGGCCACAAGACCCGCCAAAAGGTTACCTGGAGAATCTCCAGAGGCCTCGAAGGCACCGTGGTTGAATAGGCCTGAAACCAGTATCATGTGTCTACGCGTATATTTGCCTGCTAGACACGCGCGCGCGCAAGCGCGCGTGTCGGATCGAGCCACTAGTCACCAGTCGGCTCCGACACGCTGTCGCCAGGATCGCCCCAAAAAGCCTGGCGCGTGAAGAGTGGCCAGAATGAGGCGATGCGCCGCCCACTCCTGCCCTCGCCAGCATGGCGGGTCCGACTGCGCTGGTCTTTCAAGGGGGGGGCGCTTCGTGTCGTGAGGAAGCAAGCTTGCAAGGACGTATGAGGGGACCGGGGACGGGAGAGTGTATTGAAGCATCGCTGATGCATTTGGAGCTTACTCTGGTCCCCCTCCTCCATCTCCTCCTCCTCCTCCGCTTACACCTCCTCTTCCTCCTAATCAGTATGGCTATGTTTATTATTATCGATCCCTTCTTACTATTTATCATTCGTATTCTTCTGAATGTGCTTCTTATAAGCATTGGCATGATAATCCTAATTACTCATATTATTTTGATCACTCGTAGTATTATGGTTAGTATTAGTATTGATATTACTGGTCTAAAAATTAGTATTATTCTCATTAGTATGAGAATCCTCTTCCTGCTCCTACTCCTCCTCCTCTTCCCCCCGAGTCGCCTCGAAATCAGCCCGGATTGAGAAACCTCCTAGCAAAGAACACTGGACGCACGCCAAACCCAGGGACTGTCTGGGGGCTGGGCTCGGGCCAGGGTGCAAAGGAGATGCCCGCCGTGGCACCCTGAGGACAAGGAGCACCGCGACGACGACGACGACCAAAATCATCCAGTGTCGCTATTCTGTCGTACCGTGCGCTTGTGGGCCCTCCACCGCTTCATCCAGGCGGATTTTCCGTGGAGCATCGTTGCGTCAGTGGCCCCAGGGCCAGAAAAGCTGTCAGCGTAGCACCACCTAGCTGGCACCACATAGATTGCCCCCCACACAGGTTGCACCACATGGGTTGCAACACATGGCGTGCACCACATGGCGTGCATCACACGGGTTACACCACACAGGTTGCACCACATACGCTGCGCCACACATGTTGCGCCACATGGTTTGCACCGCATCGGATACACATCCTGAGCGCAAGAGCACACCGCTTCGGGCACGCGCTGGCCAGCTGCTGATGCTGTGCAACGGTTGCACGGATGGAGGGCGGCCCCCTCTCGAAGTGGGGCTGTTGCTGGGCATTCGACTTGAATGGTGTATTTCCCCACCACGTCGCATCCCCTATAACTCGAAGGATGAAAGCCAGCTTCTGTAAAAAAAGACCTCCCGCCTGAAGTGCGAGCGCATTGGGCGAACGTATTTCCGAGGGTTCGCTTCGCGCAATGAGCGAGAATACTTGTAGGGACTACACTACCGCAGCCAACATGTCTTACAGTCGTCGTTCGCCAATGTCGCAGCCGCGCGGAATAGGTCGGAGTAGACACGACTCCCATTACTCTGCGCGGACAAGCATCCTGTTTGATGATGTATGGGATGTTGTGCGGAGTAGTCTGCACACCCAGATTGGGGCAACATGGTAGACGAATATTCGGAATCGAAACTCCACCGACGAATGGCGCAAGCATCATATCGCGCTGGGAGTAATAGACATGATGGGAGGTATCTTCGCCATTGCAATCGAAGAAAATGTCGCCACAACTGCGCAGTGGGAAAAGGACGTGAGACGAAAGGGTGTATGGCAGTATCGAGGATACATATTGAATATACTCTGGTCCTCCTCCTAATCTTCATCCTCATCCTCGTCCTCATCCTCATCCGCATCCTCATCCTCCTCCTCCTCCTCCTCCTTCTCCTCCTCCTCCTCCTCCTCCCCATCCTCCCCCTCCTCTCCATCCTCCCCCTCCTCCCCCTCCTCTCCCTCCTCCCCCTCCTCCTCCTCCTCCTCCTCCTCCTCCTCTTCCTCCTCCTCCTCCTCCTCCTCCTCTCCTCTTCCTGCTCCTCCTCCTCCTCCTCCTCCTGTCGCTGTCGCCATGGGCATGGGAGTCCCTCCCAGGACGCTGCCACCCTCCCCCCTGGAAAAACAATCGTGTAAGAAATCTGGGCAAGCTTCCCGGAGGTTTCATAAAACAAACCAGGGCAAATGTCCTCCTCCGCCTCTTCCACCTCCTCCACCTCCTCCTCATCATCCTCCTCATCATCTTCCTCCTCGTCCAACTTCTTCTCCTCCTCCGCTGCCTCCTCCTCCTCCTCATCATCATCATGCTCCTGCTCCTCCTCCTCCTGTCGCTGTCGCCGTGGGCATCGGAGTCCCTCCCAGGACGATGCCACCCTCCCCCACCTGGAAAAACAGTTGTGTAAGAAATCTGGGCAAGCTTCCCGGAGGTTTCTTAAAACAAGCCAGGACTAATTTCCTCCTCCTCATCATCATTCTCCTCTTCCTCCTCCTCCGCCTCCTCTTCCTCTGCCTCCTCCTCCTGCTCCTCCCCCTCCTCTTCTTCTTATTACTAGCATTCGTATTATTATTCGTATTATTGTTACTATTTGTCCCTACCTAGGCTCTGCCAAGAAGGGCTCTTATTCTGTAGCTTAAAAGGGCCCGGCAGTGGAAACCGCCTGGGCGGTTCCCCCAGTCCCCTGGGAGCCAAGCAAAAGCAACAGCAAAGGTAAAAGCAAACGCGCGGTTCCCCCAGCTACGCTCCCTGGGTGCCAAGCAAAAGCAAAAGCAAAGGCAAAAGTGAAGGCAAAAGCGAAGGCAAAGCAAAAGCATAGCATAGCATAGCATAGCATAGCGCAGCATAGCATAGCACAGCATAGCATAGCATAGCCTAGCCTAGCCTAGCCTAGCCCAGCATAGCATTGCGCAGCATAGCATAGCATAGCATAGCATAGCATAGCGCAGCACAGCATCCACCATTGCTGCTTCTATATTTATATGTATGTACTTGCTCCTATCTCGGCGACTTGCTGCCTGCTTCTGCTGCTACTACTACTACGATTACGACTACTACTACTACTACTACTACTACTACTACTACTACTACTACTACTACTACTACTACTACGACTACTACGACTACTACTACTACTACTACTACTACGACGACGACGACGACGACGACGACTACGACTACTACTACGACTACTACTACTACTACTACTACTACTACTACTACTACTACTACTACTACTACTACTACTACTACTACTACTACGCTACTGCTACAATTACGACGATGAGGAGAAGGAGGAGGACGGCGTTTACCGCTCCTACTAATGTTGCTTTCCTAGAGGCTCCAACTCCTAGGTAGGGTCGCACTGGGATACTTGTTAATATTAGTATTGGTTTTATTATTCGTCTTCTTGTTTTTAGGATTCGTCTTGTTACTCTTGTAAGTAGTAGTAGTATATGTAGTATTGTCAGTATTCCTCGCATTCGTCGTATTATTATTAATAGTATTATTAGTATTACTATTATTATTATTAATATTATTATTAGTATTAATATTAGCAGTATTATTGCTGTTATTATTATTGTTCGTATGATTGTGATTATTTTTCTTCTGCTTACTATTATTATTCGTAATAGTATGAGTTGTACTCTGATTGGTACTACTGTTAGTCGTATCATCTATATTAGTAATAATAGTATTCCTCTTCTTCATATTCTGATTAGTCTACGAGCACTCTCTTAGTCGTAGTAGTGTTCCTATTATTCGTATTCGTATTAAGCCTAGCATTAGTAGTACGATTAGGCTTATTATTACTAGGTTTTGCAATAATATTAATATGCTTAGTCTTACTCGTAGTATTATGATTATTCGTCTCCGTCTTCCTATCATTCATATTCGTCTTCTTCGTCTTATGACTTGTCCGTCGCACTCTTATTGCTAGTGTTCTGATTCGCACGTTGCTTATTATTATTCGTATTGGTTATCATTATTCTTCGTAATGTTAATAATATTCTTAGTTTTATTAATATTATGTTAATGCTTATTATTATTATTCTTTTCCTTCCTCCTCCTCCTACTCCTCCTCCTCAGCCTCTTCCTCCTCCTCCGCCTCCTCCTCCTTCTCCTCCTCCTATCCTTCGCCCTCGTCCTCCCCCTCCTCCTCTCCCTGCTCCTCCCTCCTCCTCACGTCCCCTCCCCTCCGCCAGCAACCGTGAGCATCGTGTGACGGTTCCCCATCCCCACGGGCATGACCTCGGCCCCACTGGCGGACTTGCCCCCCCGCGGTGGGGATATATGCTCGGATTTCGCGGGGCCCATCCCCACCTGAGGGGTTGGGCTGGTGGGCCTGAGATACCGTGGCCCAGTGGAGATGACGATGTCTCTACTCCTCCACCACCCCGTCCTGTCTTTCGTCCTCGTCCTCCCCGTCCTCCTACCCCTCCTCGCCCTCCTCATACCCATCCCCCTCCTCCTGCGCCGACAGCGTTCCCAGACATCCGACGCCGTCGTTTTCTCACAACGCAGCACACCAAAAACCTGGACCCCTTCCCCAGGACCAGATTCTGGTCCGGGGTCGTTGGTTGACTGTCCCAGAAGCCAGTGGTGCCCCCAGGAGGCCGAAAAAGACCAGAAACCTCCGGTCGCCTTTTCTCACGACGCGCAAATGTCAGGTGCACCCCCCCCCTACCCAGCGGCAGCCGCCAAGCTGCGCGGAGCCGCGGCGCACCCCCCGGCAGCAAGCGCGCGCGCGCGTGCGCCGGCGCCGGCGGCTCCTGCGGCCAGCAGCGCCTTGCCGAACGCGTCCTTCTCCGCCTCCCGGGCCGGCGCTGCTTCGAGTTGCCACTCGTGCCGCCCGTGGCTCGCGGAGAGCCCGGGGGGCACTTGGGCTGGCGACGCGCAGAAGTGGCCCTCCCTGAGATCCAGGCGTTGTCTGTGTTCACGCCGGGCGTTTTCTCCTGGTGTCGGGCCCCAGGATCATCACAGATCGATCTGGCTGGAAGAATGCAGCAGAGAGATCGGGTCTAGGGCTCCGCTCGTGACTTTTCGCGATGCTGCAATTCCTTCGCAAAGTCGGGTCTAAGGGCTACAAAAGAGACCTTTGGTGCGCGGCTTCATGGGGCCACGACGGGGCCAAGTCCGAGCGCCGAAACCATGGTTGGAGGGACACGGGGGGCCCTGTGGACCGCAGCAGAGGTCTCTCCGGCGAAGGCTCACTCTTACGCGTGGCCGAAGGGGCGCTCGGGAAAAAGCCGCCAGTGAAAGGGCGAATGATATCCGACGAACCTGGTGGCCGATTGGGCGTGTGTTTGGTCGGCGTTGGCCTGGGTTGCAGTAGCAACGACGTCCTGGGAAGGCAAGGCAGATCCATCGTGCGCGGCCAATTCACGACCTACAGATTGACCGCAACCAGGCAAGCGGGCGCCTGGTATCAGCACACGATACAAAGTCTGTGGCTCCCTATAGAAAATCGACCAGACGTAAGACCAAAAGAACCTACCAGGCAGGAATGTCTACTGATCGAACACAGGGTTTGCACGCGAATGCCCAGCATGGGCAAGGTGAGCGCATGTGGTGCCACAACCAAACCCAAACGTACGAGGTCACACAGAGTTCATGGCACGGGCCACTGCATAGCAATTAGATTATGATGGTACACCAGATTTCGTAATAAAGGGAGGGGGATCTCATTTCGGGGGGGGGGTCTCTTCCAGGCTATCTTGGAGGGCCTGGGGGGTCTGGGGACGGTGTTTTGGAGGGTTCTCCCACGGGGGAGGTCTGGAATGGCTTGCCTTGGAGGGTCCAGACCACCTCCCTTCTATTACGAAATCTGGGGTCCCTTGCGCTGCTGCAAATGCGACGCCCTCTGTAAAAACATTGGACCGCTTCCGGTAGACAAACGTTGCTCCCGGAGCCCGGGCCCCAGAGCGGGCGTCGCCGCGGATGTGGGCACGTGCTGTCGGGCCTCGCGAGGGCGTGCCCGATCGCCCTGGGGACCCAGCACCAGACCGCCAGGAGGGGCCAGGGCGGCCGGTGGCGGTGCGCCACCACTTTCGCTCTGACTGCTCTTGATCTCGCACTCGCTCTCCCTTGCCGTAGCGTTCCTCTCCCTCTCCCTCGGCTTCGTGATCACTCTCTGTCGCTCTCGCTCTCTCTCTCTCTCTCTGAATACCTTTCTCTCCCTCCCGCTCTCTCTCTCTCTCGCTCTCTCTCTCCCTCTCTCCAAGACTGCCTGATCCGCCGTGGCGAAATTCATGGCCAGCACCTCGAACGAGCCACAACGCTCACGAATACGACCCTTGCCAATCAGAAGTCTGCAGCATTTCTTCTTCTCCGCGCGCGCGGAGGCGGCCCCTCGGGGGCCCCCATGATGAACAGCAACAAGAAACGCGCAGGTCCTCCTCCTCCTCCGCCTCCGCCTCCTCCTCCTCCTCCTCCTCCTCCTCCTCCTCCTCCTCCTCCTCCTCCTCCTCCTCCTCCTCCTCCGCCTCCGCCTCCTCCTCCTCGGCCACGGATGCCACAACTCCCGGGGGGCTGCCTTCCGGCCCTCAAACTCGCCCCCAGGAGCGCCGTAAGGGACCCCGAGGGAGCTCCAGGAGGGCCCGGGGGCCGGGAGGAACGCGTGCGGGAGGCCCCCAGGACGGCCCGACGACGGCCCCCCCCGAAGGCCTCGAGATGGCCTCAGGATGGTCCTCAAGACGGCCCCAAGAGAGCCCCCAGATGCTCGACTGCGTGTCCCTGCTCGTGGTGTTGGAAGGAACTTGGCGTCACCGCCTCTTCGAGCTTTCGAGTGCCGCGGGCGGCCCATGAGGCCTCAAGATCGGCCCACGACAGCCCAAGAGGCTGCCAGGACGGCCCCAAAAACGGCCCAAGAAGACCCCAAGACTACACAAGAGACCCCCTCAGAAGGCTCCAGAGGCTCCCAAGAGGCCCCGAGAGGGGAAATCCGAATTCACATGCCCTCAAGGTGACCTACGAGACTGCCACTAGGCCGCCAAGAGAGCCCCAAGAGGCCCCTAGAGGCCCCAAAAACCCCGCCCAAGAGGCCTCTCAAGAGGCTCCCAAGATGCCCCCAAGAGGCCACGGCTCCAAAGTGGCCCCGCGAACTTGCAGGCACGTGCACACGAGTCTACAATATGGGCTAGCGGAGTGAGCGAGGTGAGTGAATTCGGCGGGCCCCCATGCGGGCCCTGGCAGTGATGTAACATTCAAGGGCAGATGATGAGTTGATGACGGCATGGAGGAGAGCGAGATGGCATGCACGAGGCATGCTGCGAGGGGCCTCGCGCATTCAGCAGGGCATCCGCACCTCCGTTCTCCATTTCACACTAAGAAAGACGTGCGATCTGCGTGAGCAAGCTCCTGGCGCACGTAAAATACAAGTGGTATGAGCCTCGAGACTCCGGGAAGATGTAAAAATACGGATGGTTGGCACTTTCAAGCGCATGGGCGCCTCAATGCGGCACACCTTTTTATGCATTTCGTACATCATGGGTGCCCAGCTGGCCCCCGAGACGGCTTCTGGGCGCATCGAGTCGGCACACCCCGCACGCACTTCGTGCTTTGTGGACCCCCACGAGCTCTCAGCTGGCCTCTCAAGACGGCTCCTTGGAGGAGCTGGGTTTTTTTCGGGTTGAAAGGGTTTTTTTGTTGGTTTTCGGCTCCAACCCACAAAAAAAACCTCTAAACCCGAAAAAAAAAACCTCCCAACCTAAAAAAAAACTCGCCATCCGGTTTTTTTTAGGGTTGGGTTTTTTTCGGCTTGGGGCCTCCGCAGCGCGCCAACCCGAAAAAAAAACCCTTTCAACCCGAAAAAAAAAGCCCAGCTCCCCTTGGAGCCTTATATCGGCACACACACACACACGCACACACACACACACACACACACACACACACGCACACACACGCACCTCACGCACACGCACCTCACGCACTTCGTGGCCCCTGGACCCCCCCAAGAGGCCCGCAGCTGGCCACCAGCACCGCCCCATATCCCACGAGGGGCGCAGCCACGGCCCCCACGAAGCCCTGCAGCGACTGGCACCGACCCTCGTCGAGGTCGTACCTCGGGCACCCACGCATTGCGAGCGCGGCGTGCGACTCTCCCCCTGGGGGGCCCGCCGGCACACCCGCTCTGCGGGCTCGATGCGGCCAGGGCCCCCCTGCGGGCCCCAGCCGTGTGGTCGGCTTCGAGGGGCAGGTATTGATACGCAGAAGGCATCTGTACACCACCACCGTGCCAAGCCAGGGCCACCCTGGCCCTGGCATGGTGCATACGCCCTCCTGGCCGAGGCCAGGAGGTTCTATACACCATCCTAGGGCCCAGGATGGCCTTGGCCTTGCACGGTGATGGTGTATAGATGCCTTCGTCGGAATTGAAATGAGGGTGAGATTGAAGATGGTGAGAAGCATGCAGAAAGGCATGCTAAGAGCCGCCTCACGCTTTCCAACGGCCCGTTCTCCTGGAACAAGCACAAGTGCGAGCCGAAACGTGTTCCGATTTCCCCAGGTGGCCGTTTCGCTCGGGACTTACTCGACAAATCGGCTTCGGAGGGGACTCCGAATTTCACACATGGCAGTTTCACTAAAGACATCCTCGCTAAATAAGCCTGGGACGGGACTCCAAGTGTCAATAGAAGCAATTCGGCGAGCCCCCTGCGGGCCCTCGCCGTGTTAGACGTCGAGGGTAGATGATGAGATGGAGGATGATGGAGAAGAGCGCGAAGCATGCAGAAAGGCATGCTAAGGGGAGCTTCGCGCATTCCGACGGCCGATGCCGCAAATTCTCCTGGGGGGCACGCAAACATGCAAGTGAAGTGTGTTCCCAGCGCTAGGCCCACGCGCGTAACAGCTCTTGGGGCACGTAAAAGCACCAGTGGGATGCGCCCTCAGGGTTTCGAAGGCCTCGTTGCGGCGCACCCCGAACGCATGTCCTCTCGGACACATTATGTTATGCGTCCACATACGAGTGAGCGACGCCTCCATGGCTGCGACACCGTCATGTCGGCACACCCCTCACGCATGTCCTGCTCCATACTCCACTGGGACACTTGAGAATGCGAGTGCTCTGCGCTCCGAGGCCGTTCGAAACCCCACGGGACGCCAGCATGGTGCCATCAAGAAACACTGCAACGATTGGTGCCGACCCTCGTCGAAGCAGTATCCCCTAACGCCCACTGGTTGCAAAATCTACGTGCAAGCGTCCCCCTGGGGGGGGGGGGGCCGCCGTGGCTCTCCCGCGCTGCGGACTCGATCCGGCGAGCCCACCGCGGGCCTCGGCCGTCTTAGGCTTCGAAGGGAGATTACGACACGAAGGATGATGGGATTACGACAGGGAGGAGGGAGGAGGGGGAGGAGGGGGGAGGGAGGAGGGAGGGGGAAACGAGGACCCAGCACCACAGGATGGTTGGGACAAATATTATGTTTCAGCTGCCGAGCGTCGGGATGTATCGCCATGCCGCGCCTCGTTGATTCCATTTTCCTGCAAGCTATCGGTCACAGCGACTAACCTCTGAGCTCACATCTTGCACACGCTGGCCCGAACAGCCGACATGAAGGATTATGGAAGAAAGTGAGATGAATGCCTAACTGCATGCTAGGAGCGGCTCGTAGTCCACGGCCGATGAGGTTTCGATGCTGCTTCGATGAGGGCGGCTTCCTTTAACCCGCCGGGGGCACGTAAAAATACCAGTGGAATGCGCTCCGAGGGCTGCGAGAGCCCCGTTCGCCACATCTCTTACGCATTTCCTGCGCCCCCAAGACTCTGAGACACGTGAATCACGAGGGAATCGCAGCTCGATTCTGCTAGGAGCCACACTTCGGCACGCTCCTCACGCGCTTCGTGCATCACAGGTGCTCAGCTAGCCTCGACGGTGGCCCCTTGGGGCCTCAATTCGGCACCCCACGGCTCGAAACCATACCCCGAACACACCCACTGATTGCAAAATCTGCATGCGGATTTCCCCCTGGGGGCCCGCCGTGTCTGCGGGCTCAATGAGTAATGACACACTTGGAAAATGCAAATCACTGAGTCACTTTACAACTATACACTAACAGCCACAAGTAAAATCGATGAATGCGCACTTGAAGGTTCGGCGACTGATGGTTGATGGACCGCACGACAACAGGTTGAGGCGACCGAACGAGAGAACAGCCAGACAGAAACGCCGTCGATCAAGTAATGGTTCCTGGCTCAGTTCGCGACGATGCCGTCAAATACTAAATCGTGGCATATGGCCCATTTGACGCATGGAGCATGGCATGAAACAATTATCCTGGTGAAAGACCCAAACATATGCAATTGTGGGCACCGCAATTGTGAACATCTTCTTCGGTGAAGAGCCCCTATGGGGCCACGAAGCGCTGCACTGGGCGGGGGGGAACGCATGCGGCCGGCAGCACTGGGGCCGTCGGTGGAGCCCCCTATGGGGGCACGAAACGCTGTACTGGGCGGGTGAAAATGCCAAATTGAATTTCTGGGACGCATGCGGACGGTCCCACTGGGGGCTTCGGTGGAGCTCCCCATGGGGCCATGGAACGCTGTACTGGCTGGGTGAAAATGCCAAATTGGGTTTCCGGGACGCACGTGGACGGTCCCACTGGGGACTTCGGTGGAGCTCCTTATGGGGCCGCGAGACGCTGTACTGGGTGGGTAAAAATGCAAAGTTGAGTTTCTGGGACGCACGCGGACTGTCCCACTGGGAGCTTCGGTGGAGCTCCCAATGGGGCCACGAAACTCTGTACTGGGTGGGTGAAATGCCAGATTGGACTTCCGGGACGCATGCGGGCGGTCCCACTGGGGGCTTCGGTGGAGATCCCTATGGGGCCACGAAACGCTGTACTGGGTGGGTGAAAATGCCACATTGGGCTTCTGGGGCGCATGCGGACGGTCCCACTGGGGGCTTCGGTGGAGCTCCATATGCGGCCACGAAGCGCTGTAACGGGTGGGTGAAACGCAGGGAGGAGGGAGGAGGGGGAGGAGGGAGGAGGGAGGAGGGAGGGGGAAACGAGGACCCAGCACCACAGGATGGTTGGGAAAAACATTATGTTTCAGCTGCCGAGCGTCGGGATGTATCACCATGCCGCGCCTCGTTGATTCCATTTTCCTGCAAGCTATCGGTCACAGCGACTACCCTCTGAGCTCACATCTTGCACATGCTGGCCCGAACAGCCGACATGATAGATGGGCGCGTAAAGAGTTCCGCAACCGTCCCCGAGACACGTCAGAGGGCGTGTTGGAAAGCCAATCGGCGGCCTGTGTAGGGCATTATGTGGTTTTCCTAAGGCGACCACCTCGTCAAAGTGGCACGACACCTCGTCAAAGTTGACCACCGTGCCTCCAGGCGCCTTCCTCGGCCTCCGAGCCCGCCAAGGCGCCCCGAAGGCGACCCCGCCAGGGCCCCAAGACAGCCCTAAGGAAGACCCGCCCAGAGTGCCCGAACCCCCCAGACGCCCCAACAAAGCGCAAGCAAGCCACCACGAGGCCCCACGAGGCCCCGGGAGGGTCCCTTGGCGGCGCGAAAAGGGGGGTAGGGGGAGGGGGGAAGGCTTCTTAGAAGCACCCTGCGTCTCAGAAGGCCCTGGCCTTAAGTCTATAGAGAAGGCCAGCGCCTTCTGGAAAGCAGGGGTGCTTCTATGAAGCCTTCGCCCCTCCCCCTGCCCCCCGCGCGTGGCCGACACGAGGCCCCACGAGGCCCCGGGAGGATCCACAGGAGGACCGGCGAGATCTTCAAGAGGCCCTCCAAGAGGCCCCTCCAAGAGGCCACTCCAAAAGGCCACTCGAGAACAGCATGTGGGCGCTGGCCGGAACCTCGGCGCCGATCTCCACAACAAAAAATGCTGCTGGTGCGAGCCGAATCTCGAAGCAGCGCGCCGAATTCGGCCAGATCGGTGGGGCCCCAGGGCGGCATTTACGAGGTGACGAAGGCCACCTGACGAGTGACTTAAACTCTGTGCTAGTCTCTTTACATGTGTATAAATGTGTTATATATGTACATGTACACCTATATATACATATATACATACATACATACATACATACATACATACATACATACATACATACATACATACATACATACATACATACATACATACATACATACATACATACATACATACATACATACATACATACATACATACACGCATACATACATATGCATACATAAACATGTACATATACATGTGTATATATATATATATGTACATACCCACACACCACCAAAAAAAGCGCGTACTCCCCGCCTTCGCCTCCACAAACGCAGCCAAACGCGTGCCATGAGGGCTCTGTGTCCGTCGCAGGAGCCACCAGCCCTCCCAGCGGCGACTGGCCTGCAGTGGCCTGCCTGGGCTCCCCTCTTCGGCCCCCTCCAGCCCCTCCAGTCCCTGGGGGAAGGAGGAGGAGGAGGAGGAGGCGGAGGCGGAGGAGGAGGAGGAGGAGGGCCTTCCTCTCTGTCCTTCTCCCTTACCCCTCCGTCCTACTGGTACGACTGGAACTCTTGCGGCCGGGAACTCCTGCTGAGCGTGTCGCGGCGGCGGCTCCGGCGACACACTATGCCTTGCGAATGGGTATCGTGTCGCTCCGCTCCGCGGGGCGGGATGCTCGGAACGGCTCGGGACATTGACGCTCGGGGATCGGGCCGCGGATAGCGTGTCGCTCCGCAACGTGTTGGGCAGAACCGGCGGCGCGACACGCTAAGCCAAAGATCCTGAGCGTATCACTACTGCCTCTACTTCTAATCGGCCACCGTGCCGCAGGCAGTGAGGGAAGTGTCCACCAATCCCTGCGAACTCTCTGCACTGAGCACTATGGGCCCATGGCCCAGATTTCCGGGCGGCCCTGGGGTGTGCCGCAGGACATTTTCTCGATGCCAAACCTCGTTGGAATGAACATGTTTGTTAATGTGTTCGGCCCTGGAGGGGGGGAACACGAACTGACCCCAGGAGACTCCTAAGGCCAGGATGGACCCCGAGACCTCTAAGAGGCTTCCAAGAGGCCCCCAAGAGGCGCCCTTTCCCAAGGCCCCCAAAAAATTGTTGGCACCAAATGTATGGCCTTCCAGCAAAAAAACAAAATGCGCAGAGGGAGGACCCCGAACTGACCCCGCGAGCTTTCTCCTGCCAAGATGGCTCCTGAAACCGCTAAGAGGCTCCCAAAGGCGCCCAGGAGGCCTCCACAAACCGCACCACTCCCACTGAACCAGACCGGGTCAGGCAGAAAGAGAGGAGGAGAATGAGGAGGACCCAAAAACGATCCAAAGGGCCCCTCAGGGAAAGCCCAAGAAGGCTACTACGAGGACGAGACACGGGTCGATGGGTAGGCAGATGGGGGCACGCGAAGCGCCAAGGATTAGCTGTTCTCCAGTCCAGCCTTGAAATCTTCAGACGCTGCAACCCCCTGCAGAGCGCAAGCACGCAACTCTGACTGAAGCCAGCGCTGCACCTACAGGCTAGCATCTGCCTTGGAGCCCGAGAACCCTTCTGGGCCCGAAAGCCCAATTCCATCACCCACCTGGAGAAGACTCAGAGTCTTCCTGCAGCTTGGGCTCTTCGTTGCGGCCTCGGTGTGATCGTCTCCTCCAAGCAGCCCACCGACAGCGTATCCAGCATTCCTGAGGTGCTTGGCATGGAAGTTTAGGTAGGGGCCTGCTTGCGCGCGGCTGTGGACCACCTTGAGGCCCACGTTCTTGAAGTGCCACCAGCCGTTCTTCGAGGGATCGCTGTCCTCTCCGGCCAAGAACTGCACACCACTGCGGCCGACGCCTCGCCTGCCCACAACCCACGTCCCCGTAAAGTTCACAGCGGTGAAATACATGTCCTCGCATTTGGCGCCAAGGTGCGTTGCCTTGGCGTCCACGCGGAGCAGCGCCTTCTTGGCGAACTGTGGGATGCGCAGGAGGACGTGAACGCCGGGCTGCATCAGGTCGAAGCGCTGGCCGTACATGTTGGTCATGTGCGGGTCGTCCTGGCCTGACGATTCGCACTCGCACTCTGGATAGTAGCTGGTGTAAGAAGGGGCCAACACGGGAGGCCAGTACGACACCGTCTGCGTCGCTACCCCCGCCGAATAATTGCAATCCTCAAACAAAGAACGCGCGGGGGGAGAATCGTCGTGGCACGTGCACTTCACGCGGCACTCGTTCTTGAGGGGGCACCACTCGCAGCCAGGAGATCCGCCACCATGCTGTAGGCACTGAGTGGAGTGTACATAGTTCCCTCCTCAGTCATCAACACTGCATATCGTCAGCAATACTCCAGGGACCCATCCCCCGAGTTCTGCGCGCTCTCGGGCGCTTCAGGGGCGCGTCGGCTCCAAGAGGACTATCAAGAGGGTCTCCAGAAGCACAAATCATCGATTTCCCTGAGCGTAGTATTTGAAGCATGTTCGCTAAATCGCCCGTTCGAGCTGAAGAACGCGCAAGACGGCCGGAGAAGCCACCAAGGTCCTCGCAAGACCTGCCAAGAGGGCTCCAAGAGGGCTCCCAGACGGCCCAAGAGGCCGCCAAGGGGGCCCCAAGAGGAGCCCAAGAGCGAAAATCGAACTGCCACTTCGAGCACCCCACCCCAAAATGGCAGGCCCCCAAGACTGCCGCCGCTCGGACGCCCATTCCCCGTGCTTTTTTCGATGTCGTGCGTGCTTCTTTTTTCGGCTCGGTGATCCAGGATGCTCCTCGATGGCTCGCCGAGGACAAGGTCCACGCGTCCGAGCGATGCCAATCAAGAGGACCCTCACGAGGCCCCAAGAGGCATCCAACGGGCCTCTCGCTCGCCACCCGGGCACGATGGCAAAATCCGAACTTTACTGCTCTCCTTGGCCACTCCAAGAAAGCAAGACGAATCCAGGACGAGGCTAATATCGGGTAAGGATAAAGCGAGAATCTCTGCATTCTAGCGGTTTTAGAGGATGTCTCAGGCGCCGCGGCCTTCTCAAAGCGATCCTCGTCCTAGCCCCGTCCGAGATGGTCCTGGTGGCCTCTGGTCCAACCCGCCGGCCCCGCGGAAGCGAAAAAACAACTGCTCCCAACAGCCGTTTGGCCCAAGATGGCCTCCAAGACGGCCCCAAGACGCTCCCAAGACGGCCAAGATGGCCCCACGAGAGCTCCAGATAGCCCCAAGATGCCTCCAAGACGGCCCCAGATGGCCCCAAGACGGCCCAAGATGTCCTCAAGATGGCCCAGGAAACCCCCAAGGCGCCCCGAGAGGGCTCCAAGAGGTCCTCCAGGAGGCCCCCGAGAGTTTTCGCGTTCTCGTCTTGTCGGGCTTTCAAAACCCAGGACGGCCCAGACTCCCCCAGTAGAGGCTCCCAAGAGGGCCCCACGACGGCCCTAGATGGCCCCAAGACGGTCTCACGACAACCCCACGACGGCCTAAGAGAGCCCCAAGACGACCCAAGAGAGAGTACCACGACGGCCCCAGATGGTCCTAAGAGGGCCCCCAGACGGCTCAGATAGGCAACCAAGACAGTTTCCGAAGAACTCAGACGGCCCGAGAGCCTCCTAAGACGGCCCAAGAGAGCCCAAGGTGGCCCAGGCGAGCCCCAAAAGGCCCCAAGAAGGCCAACATGGCCTGAAGAGACTGTCAAGATACCCCCAAGATGACAGCAGAAGGCACCCCCCAGTGTTCCCCCGGTGGTTCCCCCAGCAGCTGAGGGAACAAGCAGTCCACCAGCGTGGCCGCGCTTTCGCTTGACATTTCACCACAGGCGCCTCCAGAAGACAGGGGGCGGCGGTGATTCGCCCGATCCGCCGCCCCCACAAATCTATCAAGGGGCGCTCGGCGCGCCAGTCTGCTAAGGAACTGGGCCTGTGTGTCGGTCTGGCGGCTATGTGGCCGCCATCGCCGCCCCGTCGCGTTTCGGCACCGCCCGTCGTCTGGGCCTGTCTGTCGGTCTAGTAGCTATGTGGCGCCGTCGCCGCCCTGTCACCGCCTCGTCGCCGCCCGTCGTGTGGGCCTGTCTGTCGGTTTGGCGGCTATGTGGCCCCCGTCGCCGCCCCAGTTTGCACAACATACTGTTCCTTTTTCTCCAAAAAGGAGTCAAGATCTACCACCCCCCCAAAGCAGGATTACCGATCTCCCCTGGGGATGCGCAATGTATTTGCTATTCTGCCCCATCGCTCTTTGTCAGTATGGATTCATAACACTCCAACCATGCCGAATTCGACCCCCGCCCATACCACCATCCTCCGCAAAACCAAAAATATGCGCACACCCGCTTATCAAATCATCACTGTGCAAAAACCGTACAACAAATTACACGATGTGCACACGCTCGCGTCGTCGCACACGCATACCGGAAGCATCTAAAAATTCAGGTTTCACGGAAAGTTCACAACCGAATGGCCCGAAGCAAACCAAAAATGTTTCCCCAGCATGAGTTGTCAACAAAGTTTGCGCGCCCCCTTGCGAATCCTTGGGGAAACCATAGGTTGTCTTACATATCCGTCATATTCGACCAAACGGGCCTCTCACGCGCGCATGTCGAAATTATTCGAACGCCCTTGCGCGCTTGCTGGGGGGGACCGATCCCTTTCAAGTAGTACCATGCGGGCCACTCGCGCCCGTCGGCCGCGCGCGCATATCGAAATCCGCACTAAACCTTCATTGCCGACGCGTGGACAATATCATCGTCATCGGCTTGATCAACATCGGCGCCGTCATTGGCTTTGCCGTTGCCCTCGTCGTCATCACCAGCATCGCTACAATCATCATCGTGTCTCAGGTTGTCGACATCGCCATGATACCGGGCCCGCCCGAGCCACCGACTTGCACTGAAATACCCGAGCGTCAGTGCGGTATGCGGGGGAAGTCCCCAGCGGTCAGCGCCACCGCGGCCGCGTCGGTCGCGCCAGATTAGCTGGCCGTTCTGCGCGCGAGACCGCGCGCACGAGCGCGGCCGCAACTACGCGCCAGCCAATGCCAAGCAGTAACCGCAATCGCCGCCGCATGGGTTTTGCAAACCAAGTTGCAGGGGTGGGTAGGCTGATTGCGCGAGCAATGGAGTTGACAACTTCAACTTCGGCAGAGCGAATTGCACCGCATAGATTCTCCTTTCTAAAAGACTAATCGATTCTACCCCCCCCCAGACTTATCGGGTCCCCCGCGCGTGCTGTAAATTACATACGATTCTGACCACATGTCCATCCTAAATATGAACTCATACCATCCCAGCCAAGCCGGGTTCCCCCCCCCTGCGGTTCCCTTGTAAAAAACACTATGAGGTGACATGTTTTGTTCTAACATATCACTTATTCACGAATCCCTTGCAAAAAATGGGACGAAGTGCACACGCGCGCGTCGTGGCGCGCGCATGCCGAAATCTTTTCTTCTTTTATATATATATATATATATATATATATATATATTATATATATATTATATATAAAAACAAACAAAAAACAAAAACAAAAACAACAAAAACAAAAAAAAAAAAAAAAAAAAACTTTCGGTTCCGGAGAGATTTCAAAATTGAATTTCCAAAAAACATATAAAAACACATGGTTTCGCAACACTGATTCAAAAAAAACTTACGCGCGAGCTCTTGCGAAATCTTAAGAAAACCATAGGTTTTCCAAGATTTTCACAAAATGCTACCAAACGGGCTTCGCGCGCGCGCATGTCGAAATCTGTCGAACGCTCTTGCGCGTGTGCCGTCGCGAGAATCCTCTGCAAAAAACGGGACGAAGTGCAGACGCGCGCGTCGTCGCGGGCGTATGCCGAAATCCTTCAAAAACCTTCGGTTTCGGAAGAATGTCGAAATCGTGCGCCCAAAAAACCTACAAAAACACAAGGTTTCGCAACACGGGTTTTCAACAAAATTGTGCGCGCGCGCTCTTGCGTCGTCGTCGTCGTCGTCGTCCTCCCTCCTCCCTCGTCGTCGTCGTCGTCGTCGTCCGTCGTCGTCTTCTGTCTTTCCTCGTCGTCTTTGGCGTCGTCGTCGTTTCCGTCGTCGTTGTCGCCGTGGTCGTCCTTCCTCCCTCGTTGTCTTCGTCGGCGTCTCGTCGTTGTCCCTCCTATTTCGTCGCCGTCGTCGTCGTCGTCGTCGTCGTCGTCTTCACTCCTCCCTCGTCGTTATCCTCCTCCCTCGTCGTCGTCGTCCGTCGTCGGCGTCTCGTCGTCGTCCCTCCTATTTCGTCGCCGTCGTCGTCGTCTTCGTCGTCGTTGTCATCGTCGTCGTCTTCCCTCCTCCCTCGTCGTTGTCGTCGTCGGCGTCGCCGTCCTTCCTCCTTCTTCGTCGTTGGCGTCGTCGCCGTCTTCCCTCCTGTATCGTCGTTGTCGTCGTTGTCGCCGTCGTCGTTTTTTCTCCTCCCTCGTCGTCGTCTCCGTTGGCAACGTCGTCGTCGTCTCCGTCGTCGTCGTCGGCGTCGTTGTCGACGTCGTCGGTGTCGTCGTCGTCGTCGTTGTCGTCGTCGAAAACATTGGAGACGTCGTCGGTGTCGTCGCAGTCGCTGTCGGCGGCGCCGTCGTCGTCGATGTCGCTGTCGTCGTCGGCATCGGTGTCGTGGCCAAGTGCCACGCAGTACCTACCGTCACGGTCTTGTCTGAAGAGGTCTTGCGACCAAGTTGCGGGTGGGAGGGTGGGATGTTTGCACGAGCAGTGGAGAGGACAGCTTCAAGACAGTCGAAGTGGGTTGCACCGTCTAGATTCTCCTTTCTAAAAAGAAAATAGACTCTACCCCCCCCCGGAATTATCGCCCCCCTTCCGGGTATGTAAATCATATATGATTATGACCACATGTCCATCCTAAATATGAAATCACAATGTCCCAGGCCAACCGGTATCCCCCCCCCTGAGGTTCCCGTGTAAAAAACACTATGCGGTGACACTTTTTGTTCTAACATAACACTTTGTCACGAATCCCTTGCAAAAAATAAAACGAAGTGCACACGCGCGCGTCGTCGCGCGCGCATGCCGGAATCCTTCAGAACCCTTCAGTGCCGGAAGGATTTCGCAATCGAGTTTCCAAAAAAACATACAAAAACACAGGATTTCGCAATACTGATGTGCTAAAAAAGCTTACGCGCGAGCTCTTGCGAAATCTTAAGAAACCATAGGTGTTTCAAGATTTTCACAAAATGCTACCAAACGGGCTTCGCGCGCGCGCATGTCGAAATCCATCGAACGCCCTTGCGCGTGTGCCGTCGCGAGAATCCTCTGCAAAAAACGGGACGAAGTGCAGACGCGCGCGTCGTCGCGCGCGTATGCCGAAATCCTTCAAAACCCATCGGTTTCGGAAGGATTTCAAAATCGTGCCCAAAAAAACTACAAAAACACAAGGTTTCGCAACACGGATTTTCAACGAAAGCGTGCGCGCGCGCTCTTGCTACGTCGTCGTCGTCGTCGTCGTCGTCGCCGTCCTCCCTCCTCCCGCGTCGTCGTCGTCGTCGCCTACGTCGTCCTGTCTTTCCTCGTGTTCGTCATCGTCGTCCTCTTTGGCGTCGTGGTCGTTTCCGTCGTCGTTGTCGCCGTGGTCGTCCTTCCTTCTCCCTCGTCGTCGTCGTCCGTCGTCGGCGTCTCGTCGTCGTCCCTCCTATTTCGTCGCCGTCGTCGTCGTCGTCGTCGTCGTCGTCGTCTTCCCTCCTCCATCGTCGTTGTCGCCGTGGTCGTCCTTCCTCCTCCTCCCTCGTCGTCGTCGTCGTCCGTCGTCGGCGTCTCGTCGTCGTCCCTCCTATTTCGTCGCCGTCGTCGTCGTCGTCGTCGGCGTCGTTGTCGTCGTCGTCGGTGTCGTCGTCGTCGTCGTCGTTGTCGTCGTCGAAGTCGTTGGAGACGTCGTCGGTGTCGTCGTAGTCGGTGTCGGCGGCGCCGTCGTCGTCGTTGTCGCTGTCGTCATCGGCGTCGGTGTCGTGGCCAAGTGCCATGTGGTACCTGCCGTCACGGTCTTGTCTTAAGAGGTCTTGCGACCAAGTTGCGGGTGGGAGGGTGGGATGTTTGCACGAGCAGTGGAGAGGACAGCTTCAAGACGGTCAAAGTGAATTGCACCACTTGGACTGCACCACTTAGGTTGCACAACATAGATTGAACGGCACATGTTGCACCACAAAAATTGCACCGCACAGGTTGCACCGCATAGTGCGCAAACCAGATTGCATAGATTGCACCGCATACATTGCACAACAAAGATTGCAGAAAACAGATTGCACCACGTAGGTTGCACCACTTAGACTGCACAATTAGCTTGCAAAACCGCTATTGAACCGCACAGGTTGCACCACAAGGGTTGCACAACATATGTTGCACCACATCGAGTGCACAACATGGATTGCGCCACATAGCGTGCACAACAGATATTGCACCACCTACACTGCTAGAAACACACTATTTGGGGTGCACGCTGGCTAACATTTGTATGTAGTTGTCTGCCCGTCCAAAAAGGTCTCACTGAGTCTCGGCCCGTCCTGCGCCGCCCCTGCACAACGACCACAGGGTCGAGAGAACTCGTCCCGAAGACTGCCAAGCGGGCCCTCGATGGCTCCAGACTGGCCCGAGCTCCCAGAGGACCAAGATGAACCTCAAGATGACCCAAGATGGCCCCCAGAAGATATGTCGGGGCCCATTGGTCCGTCTTGGGGGCCCTCTTAGTTCGGCTCAAGACGCCAAAACCATTGAGAACACCACATGTGGCTTTCCGTGCCTTTCGGATTCTCGTCGTTTCCATAAAGCGCCCAACACAGCCCCGAAGACCAGCCCATGACGGTCCAAGTAGGCCCCAAGAGGACTCCAAGACTGCATCGAGGCGGACCAAGAGGGCCCCAAGACGGACCTAGAGAGCCCCAAGACTATACTA